GGATGGGGCATCATGGGATGGGGCAGTGCGGGATGGGGCATTATGGGATGGATGGGGGTATTATGGGATGGATGGGGTATTATGGGATGGATGGGGCATCATGGAATGGGGTATTATGGGATGGGGAGCTATGGGATGGGGCACTGGGAATGGGGCATTATGGGATGGGGGCATCATAGGATGGATGGGGTATTATGGGATGGATGGGGCAGTATGGGATGGGCATTATGGGATGGGGCAGTGCGGGATGGGGCATTATGGGATGGATGGGGTATTATGGGATGGGGAGCTATGGGATGGGGCACTGGGAATGGGGCACTATGGGATGGATGGGGCAGTGTGGGATGTGGAGCTGTGGGATGGGGTATTATGGGATGGATGGGGCACTGTGGGATGTGGGGCACTGGGAATGGGGAAATGGCCCTATGGGATGGGGCAGCATGGGATGGGGCACTAACTGCGAGATAGGGAGCTGCGAAATGGGCATTATGGGATGGAGCATTGGGAATGGGGAAATGGCCCAATGTGGAGCTGTGAGATGTGGCCCTATGGGATGGGCAGTGCGGGAACTGGGATATGGCACTTCGGAATATGGCGTTATGGGATGCGGCGCTGGGAACGGGGACATGGCAGTGTGGGATATGGAGCTGTGGGGTACGGCATTGGGATCCGGTCCGTGGCATTATGGGATGCGGCGCTGTGGGACACGGCGGTGTGGGATGGGGCAGCGGCCCTACGGGACGTGCGGCTGTGGGATGGGGCTCCGTGGGACGGGGATGGAAGCACGGCGCTCCGGGAGCCGTTCTGTGTCCCGCACGGAGCTGCGTGAGATGGGATTTGGGACGCGGCACCGCGAGACCCCCGCTGCCCCCTGCCGGTGTCCCCCCCGGTGTCACCGGAGGAGCGGCGACATCTGCTGGTGGCGGAGGGGCAACCGGGGGGAGGGGGGGGGTGTCTGGAGGGGGGGCTTCTCCGAGCCGAACCAAACCGTGCAGCAGCGCAGCTCCGGGTCGGACCCCCCCCCCTCACGCCGGACCCCCCCACGGCTCGGTGCCACGCGGGGGCTGCGGGTGACGTGGCCGGGGACCCCCCCCCCCTCAGCCAACCCCCCCCTCCATGGGCTCCGCGTCCCCTGGCTGTGACCTCCCGGAGGTGCCACCGCGATAATGACAGAGTGGCGCGGGGGGGGGGCGGAGGAGGTTTTAAATAACGCACAAATTGGGGCCACGAAGTGGTGCGGTTTCCTTTGGGCGGGGGGGGGGGGGGGATCCTCCCCCCCCTCAGCGCTGTGACTCAGAGGTGGCGGCGATGTGGGGGACGGTCCCCAACCCCCCCCCCCCCCCCCCCAGTGGTGACTCACTGGGGTCCCCCCCCGGCCCTGACGTCACCCCCCCCCCCCCCGCCCCAGTGCGGGCACCGCTAATTACACGGAGGGGCCCCTGGGGGGGGGGGAGAGGGGGGGACAATGCGCCACCTCCGCAGGGACACAGCGCGGTGACATCGGGATGTGAGGTCACACAGCGGCCTCAGTGCTGGGGGGGGGGGGACAACACGAAGAGCTACGGGACAGGAGAGGGTCGCCCCCCCTCCCCCCCCCCCCCAGAGGGTCATTTGGGGGTTGGGGTCCCCAGAGCAGCTTTAGGGCTGCAGCTCGGAAGTTTGGCTCCAGTTTTGGGGTCGGATGCTCAAAGTCCAGGGTTGAGGCCCCCCCCCCCCCATTCACACACACGGGGCAGAGGCACAGCGCTGAACCCCCGCAGCCTTTATTGGGGTCCGCCCCCCCAAAGCCCCTCCTCCAACACAACCGCACCCCTCCAGACCCCGCCCCCCCCCCCACCGCACCCTCCGAAGCCCCCCCCCCTTCCAACACACCCGCAACCTCGCAGCTCCCCCCCCCCCCCCTCACGCCCGGATGGGGCTGGCCGTCCCCGGGGGGGGCCCCTCCAGGCTCTCCATGCTGCTGCTGCTGCTGTAGGCGCTGACATCGCGGCACGACCGCTGCCGCCCCCCCCCGGACCCCCCCCTCGGCATCGGAGTCGGAATCGGGCGCCGTGTGCCGTCGGATTCGGGACACCGCGTCCCTCAACGCCTGGCTGTAGAGCGCCGGCCGCCGCGGGGGGGGCCGACCCCGGGACCCCCCCCCCTTCCCCGGGCTCCGCTTGGAGCCACGAGGGGGGTGAAAGAGCCGGTGGGGAGGCGGGGGGCTCCGTGCGGGGTCCCGGGGGGGGTGGCGGGCACGGAGACCCCCCCGGCGTAACGCACCTGATGGCGCTGCGGGGGGGGCACGTACTGAGCCCGGACCACCACCCGCGTGGCGTCGATGAGGACGTGCCCCCCCGGCCCCCGCCGCCCCCCGCCGCGCCCTACGGGTCTGTGCCGGGGGGCCGCGGTGCGGGGAAGGGTCTGGCAGTGCAGGGGGGGTCCCGATGCTGCCGGGGGGGGCTGCATCCCACGTGGCCATCGGACCCCCCCCTCGGTGGCGGCTCGGGGCAGCGTGTGGCTGCAGCCCCCCGGCACGGAGCCGCGGCCGCGGGGTTTGGGGAGGGGGGCTGCGCGGCCTCTGGGGGGGGGCGGGCTGCAGGGTGCGGTGCGGAGCGTCGTAGGCGGGGGGGGGAGATGTAAGGGGGCGGCCCCCCCCGGCGCAGGTCGGCCGCCCGCGCTCTCCGCATGTGGGTCTCGTAGCTGGGGGGGCCCGGCCTGGCCGCTGCTAACGGGGAGCAGAGGGGGCCCGGCGGGTGCCGCTGGCGGGGGGGGGCCGTACTGCGGTTCCGCGGGGGGGGGCGCGAAGCCGGGGGTGGTGCGGCGCCGGGGGGGGGGGGAGAGGTGAAGTCCCGCCGGGGGACAACGCGGGGTCGGGGGGGGGGTCAGCTCCGCCACGAAGCGCTTCTCCAGGAACCTGCAACACAGAGAGGGCCGTGAGGGGGGGGTGGGATGCGGGGTGGGATGGGGGGGGTCCGTCCCGCCCCCCCGAAGCCCCACTCACGCGTACTCCCCGGCGAAGCGCCGGTAGCCCCACGGGGACTCGGGCCGGCACCCCGCGGCCATCCCGGCGGTCGGGCTGCAAAACGTCACGGCGTCGATCTCCACCAGCAGCACCTGGGTCCGTTCGCAGATCCTCAGGCGCCCCACGCCCCTCTCCGTGCCCCCCAGCATGGCCCGGGGGGGGGGGCAGGTTTGTTGTTGGGGGGGGGGGGGGGGCGGTCCCGGTGCCGCCGGTTTCGCAGCCAGGCGCCCGCCCGCCCCGGCGCAGCCGCACGTGGGAGCGCGGGTGGCGGCGCCGCCTGGATGTGGGGCGCAGCCCCCCAGGTTCGCACCCCCCCCCCACCTCCCCAGGGGTCCTTTCCAACCCCCCCCCCCCCCACCTCAACCCCCCCCTTCTGCGACAGCGCGAGGCGATCGCCGGGTTTGGCACCGAGAGCTGCAGCCCACGCGGCTCCGAGCGGAGCTTAGCAACCCTCCTGCGGCGGCATGGCAACGGAACCACCGGCAGCACCGGCACCGGCACCACCCCCCCGGTCCGGCACCGGGCGGCCACGCGCCCCCCCCCGCCCCCCATCGCCCCGCTTCTCACCTCGCACCGCCGTGCCGGACAGCGGAGGCGCAGCCGGCGGCGCTCAGCCTCCCCCCCCCCCCCCCACGGGCCGGAATGCGCTGCGCTCAGCACGGCTCCGTGCCTCCCCCGAGCAGAGACGGACGGGGTGGGCAGAGACCCCCCCCCCCCCATACACACAGCCCCCCCCAAATGGGGGTCCAGGCCCGGCTCCCCCCTCTGCCCCCACATCTCCAATCCCAACCTTTCAGCGAAGCCACCGGCAGAACAAACAGGGATTTAGGGGCTGGGTGAGCTCAGCAGATTCCCCCGACGGCGACGCGGGGGGGGGGTCCCGGTGCCCCCCCCCCCTTCCACCCCCCCCCCCCCCCTCGGCGCCCCCACACAACGAGGCTGCGTTGGTGCCAGGTCTGTGTTTATTTGCCATTTCTCTCCGCACACAAAGCGGTGGCAGTGAGGGGGGAGCAGAGTGGGGGAAAAATAAAGCTATGTGGGGCCGGGACGCCCCCAGCCCATGCGGCCCCCCCCAGCCCCCCCCCCAGCCAGGATCAGTCGCCCCATAGGAGCACACTGAGGGGTTGGGGGCTGCCCAAGCACCCGGTGGGGGGGGGGGGGGGAGGTAGAAGCCGCCCCCACCCCACAGCCGGTTTATTGCTGCTGCTGCTGGTGTGTGCGACCCCCCTGGGGGAGGAGGGGAGGGCGGGGGGCACCGGGCTGGGCTGAGCCCCCCCCCCACAGCACCGCTCAGGGCTCAGAGCCCTCGGGGAGAACCAGGGCTTGGAGGATGTCGGAGAGGGAGACGATGCCTTTCACCACGTCGCTCTCATCCACCACCACCAAACGGTGCACCTGGGGGGGGGGGGGGGCGAGGTGGGCAGGGGGCTCCCACTCCCCCCCCCCCCCCCCCCGCGCTCCGTGGGCCGCGAGTTACCTCGGCCTCCACCAGGCGGTTGATGATGGCTTCCAACGTCTCGTGTTTGTAGCACTTGAGGACGCCCTCGAAGTAATGGGAGCGGTGCTGCAGCGCCCGCGTCACCGTCACGTCCAGGTTGTTGTAGGTCTTCTCGGCAGCCAAATTCTGGGGCAGGGAGAGGAGCTGGGGGGGGGGGGCAGCTGGGACCCCAGGAGCCCCACGAGCCCCAACCTCCCTCCCTTGCGGCTCCGTTCCACGTCGCCACGACCTCAATACTCACAATCACATCGAACTTGGAGTAGATGTCCACCACCCGCCCTGCAAGGAGAGCCGGGGCTGTAAGGGGGGGGCAGAGCCCAAGGGGGGGGGCAGAGCCCAAGGGGGGGGGGCAGAGCCCAAAGGGGGGGGGGGCAAAGTCAAAGGGGGGGGGCAGAGCCCAAAGGGGGGGGGGGGGCAGAGCCCAAAGGGGGGGGGGGCAAAGTCAAAGGGGGGGGGGGGGCAGAGCCCAAAGGGGGGGGGGGGGGGCAGAGCCCAAGAGGGGGGCGCAGAGCCCACCGACAGCAACGCCGCCCCCAAAGCCTCACCTGAATCATCGACCACAGGCAGAGCAGAAACGCGGTGCTGCACAAAGATGCCCAGAGCCACGTAGATGGGGGTGCTGGCGCTCACCACGGCGATGTTGCTGTAGGTACCGATCTGCAGCTCCTCCAGAGTGCGGGCCATAAAGTCGGGCTTCGGGACCTCTGCAATCTGCAGGGGACGGGGAGGGAGGAGGGGACACAGTGCTGACGCTGGCTGGGTTTGGTGCTCCGGCTGCACCCTGGCTCATGGGGAGGGGGGCTGGGACGGGGTCCTAGGAGTGAAAGCAGAGAGTGCTGGGTGCGGAGCGGGACCCCAACGCCGCCCGGGGAACCCCAGCACCAAACCTGCGCCCACCCCCAGCCTGCAGAACCCGGCGCGGCTCAGCCAGGGGGGCAGCACCCACTGCTGAGTGGGGAGGGGGGACTTACAAAGAGTTTGAGGAACTTGAGGATGCGTTTGTGGGTGAGGATGTAGAGAGTGTTGCCCGAGTCGGGGTCGATGACGGGGAGGCGGTGGATTTTGTTCCGGATCAGGGAGGAGACGGCGTCAAAGAGGCTGGGGGTGGAACAGAAGGAGCGATTGGGGCTCACACAAACCCCCCCCCCGTGCCGCCACCTCAGCCCCCCACAACCCCCCCACAGCCCCCACCTGGCATTGGGGGAGATGCAGACCAGCGGCTTGAAGGAATCCTGCAGGTACACCTCTGTGGGGAGGGGAGGCTCAGCTGTGGGGCAGCCACACAGGGATGGGGCAGCGGGAGGCGGCAGCTCTGTTACCTCTCCACGTCTCAATTTTGTGCTCCTCCAGCTCGTAGATCTGCACCTGAGCACCACGAGGAACCCCCAGGTTCATCCAACGGGGCCCCCCCCTCACCCTCCCAACCCACAGGGTTATGGGGCAGCCCCCCCCCCCCCCCCAGCACCACCCCCCTACCATGGGTGACTTGTAGTAGCGGTGCAGGATGTTGATGAAGTCGGTGATGGTCAGCATGCCTGCAGGGTGGGGGGGTAAGTGGGGTCCTGCCCCCTCTCCCCCCTCCAGCTCCCCCCTCCCCACAAAGCGCTCACCCACAAAGCTCTGCTTTTTGCTGTCCCACAGCGGAGCTGCCCGCACACCATTGGTGACCAGTGCAAAGAAAGCCTTCTTCACCTACAGCGGGGACACGGAGGAGGAGGGGGATGTCGGGACCCCCCCCCCCCAGGCAGGGCAGAGCCCATTCCTGGCCCCCCAATCCCCCCTCTGCCCCCCAACCCACCTGCAGGGAGGTGTCGAAGACGACGAGTTTGGAGCTGGTGGGGATGAGGTCGTAGCAGCGGTGTGACTTCATGAAGGCCGTGTAGGGACCACGGAGGGGCTCCCCTGGGGGGTGGGAGGGTGGGAGGGGGGGCAGCGTGAGGGGCGGCCAGCAGGAAGGGGAGCTCAGAACAGGGCACCTCAAAAGATGGGGCACAATGATACAGGAAACCCCAAATGTGAGACGCCTCAGAACGTGGGAGACCCCAACACCAGGAGACCCCAAAAACAGGAGATGCCCCCAAACAGCACGAGCCACAACAGCAGGAGAGCCCAAAACGTCAGAGATCCCAACGCAGAGACACCGCGACGCCAGAAGACTCAAACCCACGGCACATCCCAGCACCGGGTCACCCCGACAACGGGTCTCCCCAATAACGCCGCACCCCAATAACGGCACACCGCAATAACGGCTCTCCCCAATAACGGCACATCCCCTCCCGGGGACACCGCGACCTCCCTCCCTTCCTCCCCCCCCCTCACCTTCCGCTCCCGGGGCGCTGCGCTCCGCCGGGCTCTGCGCGGCCGGACCGGGGCCGGGCTCCTGCGGACAGACAAGGCCGGGGCCGGGCCCCGCTCCCGTTATCCCCGCTCCCGTTACCCTCCCGGTGCCCGCAGCCCCACGCTCACCCCCGCGGCTCCTCACGGTCCCCCCCGGTTTCCCCCCGCCGTTTCCATCCCGCTCCGTCCCCACCTCCATGGCCCCGGGTCCGCTGCCGCCACCGCCCCACTTCCGCCCGGCGCCAGCGAACCGCTTCCGCCAGTACCCCACACGTGATCGGAAACACGTTCAACACGTGACCGGAAGCGCAGTTCTGTCACGTGACCGGAAGTAAGCGCATTCCACGTGACCCCTGACCGCCCGACGACCTGAACACGGGGTGCACGCGAGGTCCTAGAAGGGAAAAGTGGGTCCTGGAAGGGAAAAGGAACAAGACGGGGGTCCTGGAAGGGGAAAAAACAACACCAGACGGAGGGGGGGAAAAGGGATCCCGGCGCACCCCCCCAAGAGCACAGCGAGGCGCCGGGCTTCTCACGCGCTTTATTTAAAATAACATCCAGTGGTTTCGGTATTGGTAAAAACGGGTTTTCTACACGCCCCGGCCTTATGTACAGCTCTGAAAGTTAAACTTCTCGTATATTTTCTTTTCTTTTTTTTTTTTTTTTTTTTTTCCTTATTTTTTTTTCTTTAAAACTTTCTCATCATCCCCCATTTCCCCCCTCGGGTCGTTTTTTATTTATATTTTTTTTTTTTTCTTTTTAAAGTCATTTTTATTATTTTTTTTATTATTTTTTTTTCCTTTTTTCCCTCTTTTTTTTTTTTGTTTTTCTTTTCCTTCTTTTAAACCTTAAAACCTTTTTTTCTTTTTTTTTTTTTTTTTCTTTTTTTTTTTTTTCTGCAGCTTTTTTGACGAGTTGCGGAAGCAGCTTTAAAAGAACGGCCCCGCCCGGCCCCCCCCCCCCCCGCACCGGCACAGGGCCCCCCCCAGGGCTCAGACCCCCCCCCAATAAAGGGCCAGCCCCCCCCCGCCGCCCGTTTGTGCGTTAAGAGCCCCCCCTTGAGCCCTGGGGGTGCATTGGGGGGGTGGGGGGGTGGAAAGGGGAGGGGGTTTACAAACAGCCCCCCCCCCCCCTCGGGGCCGGGGGCTGCATAATGCCCACACGCTGCTCCATCGCTGCCCCTCGGAGCTCAGCCCCCCCCCCCCCCTGCACCCCCCACTCAGAGCACAAAGAGCCCCCACCCCACCCCATATTATATACAATATAAGGTATAAATAGATAAATAACCTTCCCCCCCCATCCCGACAGCGGAGCGTGAGGGGCAACAGGGTGCCCCCCATCCCCCATGGCGTCGCCCCCCCCCCCCCCCAACCTCACACTGTAGCACTGGGATGAGGGTGGGGGGCCCCCATCTCCCCCCACCCTGAGGGTTTTCTCCATGAGGATGGCGGGGAGGGGGGGGAGGAGGGCCTGGGGGGGGGGGGGGGGGGTTGGGGCTCACATTTAAAACCAACGAGAGAAAACAAAGAGAAAAGGAAAAAACGAAAACCAACGACAAAAAAGAAGCGAATCTAAGACGCAAAATGAGGTAGGTTTGGGTGCAGAAGCTCCTCGTGTCTGCGGGGCCCACGGCGGCGCTCCGGGGTCTCATCCACACTCACAAACAAAAAGAGATCCGAAAAAGGAACCGAGCGGAGCTCTGACAGCCGCCGACGACGGAGCAGAGCCCGGATTGTCGAGCTCAAGGAGTCTTTGTTACCTTGGTAATTAGCGAGCAAATATTAATTCAGTTTCGTGGGTTTGGTTGGTTGGGTTTTTTTTTTTTTCTTTCTTTTTTTTTTTTCTTTTTTTTCTTTTTTTTTTGTTTTGTTTTGTTTCTAAAAAATAAAAATCCAATCCTCAGCCAAGCCGGCGGCTCCCAACTCGTTGCAGCTCCCCATTGTGGGGGGGGGGGGGGGGTGGGATACAGCTGGGGGAGGGGGGGAGGCTTGCTGGACCCCCCCCCCCCTTCGTGTTCCTTGCAGGACGAAGCAAAGAAAACCCTGAGTTGTCCGTCCGTCCGTCCGTCCCGCTCGGCCCTCCGTGCTCCCAGCCTTCCTGGCATCTCCGCAGCCCCGATGCAGGCAGAGCCCCGAGGCCCCCAGCTCCGCATTGGCGCCACGGACGACGTGGTTTTGTTTCGTTTCTGTGATTTCTTTCTGTTTCCTCCTCCTCCCCGTTTAATTCATCCACTTCCTGCAGTTCCACGCTCCGCAGTGGCAGGGGATCTTGTGCTGATCGTCCTCAAAGTCGAACTGGTAGTCGTAGGTGAGCTGGGGGGGGAACAGGGAGTCACGCGCTGCTGTACCCCAACATCTCAGCCCTGCGTTCCCCCCCCCCCCGAGGCCCCCAGACCCCCTGAGCCCCCTCCCACCCCCTCCTCCTGACCTCCTCCCCTTTGGGGATGCGCCGGCTGGAGATGATGATGATTTTGTCCTCCTTGTCGAAGGTCACGACTTCGGCCACGCAATTTGGGGCACACGAGTGGTTGATGTACCTGGGGGGGGGGGGGGTTATAGAGGTATCAGCACCGGGCGGGGGGAGGCACCGGGGGTCCCTCTATAGGGGGATGCGTTGTTCTGTGCTCACCTGGCCGGGCCCCCCGTCAGCGTGGCGTCGATGACGTGTTCGTTGTTGATACGGAACATGTAGATGCCACGGTTCTGGTGAGGACAAAAGAGGGGAGGGGGAAGGGGGTCACGGCTGCCCTGAGGTCCCCTCATCCTCACAGAGCCTCTCTGTCCCCCATGCCCCGATCAGAGCCCCCTGGCCCAGACTGGAGACCCTCACGTCCCGATCTGAGACCCACCGCTCCACACCAGAACCCCCCTGTGCCCCACCGGACCCCCACCCGCCCCAACCAGCACCCCCTGCGCCCCACTGGACGGCCCCCCCACCCCCCTCCCCACCAGACCCCCACCTGCTCCTCGTAGATCTTCTCCCGCCGGTTGGCCACCTCGTTGCGGATGATGGTGCCGATGTACTCGATGACCATGGTGTGCTTCTCGATGTCCTTGGCGGCGTAGAGCCCCAGGCCTTGGATGCGGGACCGCGCCAGGTACACGTTGTTCTTCCATTCCGTCTTCAGGCGGCGGTACTGGGAGGACTTGGAGTGCACAAACTGCTTGCTGTACGGCGTGTTGGTTTCGCCCGTGAAGGTGCTCTGGTAAGCCTTGGACATGCTTGTGCTGTTCAGGGTGTGCGGCCTTGGGAAGAACCAGAGGAGGGTTGGGTCAGAAAGGAGGGACCCCCCCCCCTCCCCAAGGATCCATGATGGCAGCGGTGCGGCCCCCCCCCAGCTCACCGTTTGTAGTGGGTGAGGATTTTGGGCTCGGCGCGGGCGCAGCCGGTGGGGTTGATCATCAGCGGCAGCTCCATGAGCGGATGGCGGCCGTAACGGAACAGGTAGTTCTGGCAGCTCTCCACACCGGGCAGCTGCGGGGAGGGGGCGGAGGGACCGGGGGTCAAACAGCAGCACCGCGACAGCCCTTCCCTTCCCTTCCCTTCCCTTCCCTTCCCTTCCCTTCCCTTCCCTTCCCTTCCCTTCCCTCCCCTCCCCTTCCCTTCCCTCCCCTTCCCTCCCCTTCCCTTCCCGATGCAAGACCCCAGCCCAGCCGGCCCTGGCACCCACCGACTCGGCGATGCGCAGCACCGCGTGCACCGTGAGGCCGAAGAGCTCCTCGCCCTTCAGATACTCGGGGAAGAGCCGCAGCATGTCGGCCTCCTTCCTCATCATCGCCACCGGCTCGATGATCCGGTTCCAGACAGCTGCCAAAAGGAAACGGCGCTGAGCCGCGGCGTCGCCACGTCCTCCCCTTCCCCGCGCGACGCCGAGCCCAGCGGCCACGCCGGCACGGAGGACGGCAGCGGCGGCTCCCCGTCGCTCACCCTGCGGCGAGGAGTCGGAGAAGACCAAATCCTCCAGGCCCTGCTCGATGACCTGCACCACGAACTCGGGCCGCCCGTTGTTCTCGCAGATGGTGCAGCGGTAGCAGCAGCGGCGGTTGTTGGTGCGCAGGCTCCAGTAGATGCGCGTGGCCTCGTAGCCCACGGGGTAGAGGGCGGTGACGCTGTGAAAGTCGGCCATCTGATGGGGCAGCAGCTGCCCGATGGCGTGGAAGACCAGGCCGCCCACTCGGAACATGTGCAGCCGCTCGCCGCGCTGGATGATGCTGGCGATCTGCTTCACCTCGTCCCGCTCGATGTAGACGCGCCGGAAGACGGTGAAGGAGCTCAGCTCCTGCTCGCAGGGCCCCTTCAGCTTGTGCAGCGGGCACAGCATGGTCTTGTCCTTGAAGAACATGCACTTGGCGCGGATGGCGCAGGCGAAGTGGTAGACGCTGGGGCAGCGGATGCGGTTGCAGCTGTTGGTGGCGCCGGTTTTCTGGCACAGGGAGCACTTGGTGAGCAGGCCGCGGTGCAGGGCCACCTCCACGTTGATCAGCGCCCCTCCCTGCGTCTCGTACACCTCGGTGGACCACAGGGCGCAGTTCAGGTGGACCCAGAGGTCCAGGTCGAGGTTGAGCAGGCGGGCCGGGCCGTCCGTCGCCCCGTCGCCCTCCTCGTGGCAGAAGCAGCAGCGGCGCAGGTCGCGCGGCACCTTCTCAGGGCGCAGCGTGGTGCCCAGCTTGTCGATGAACTCGGCGATCTCTTTGTCGCCGTCCCGCTTGGCCCCCCCCTTCTGGATGGTCACCAGGAACCGCAGCCGTTTCCACCTCACCCCCTTCCACTTCTTGAGCCGCGGCCGCGCTTCGTCTCCGTCCTCCGGCGGCCGCGAGCGGGGCTTGAAGCGGGGCGGGGAGTGGGGGGCAGCGGGGCCCTCTTCCCTGGGAGCCGGAGAAGGGGCGGGGGGCAGCGGCGAGGAGGGGGCCGGGGGGGCTTCGTGGGCGGCCTCGGGGTCGGGGACCCTGGCGGCCTCAGTGGGGCTGGATGGGGAGGGGACGGAAGGGGACAGGGGGGGCGAGGGCTCCTGGGGCATCACGGAGAGCTGCCGCACGTCCAGGTTGGAGACGTTGTTGACGTAGCCGTGGTGCAGCGTCTTCTCGGGCACGGGGCTCTCCTGCAGCGCGGGGGGCGGGGGGTCAGAGCACCCCCACGGAGTCCCGCTCTCGACCTCCCCATACGACGCCCCGCAAGGACCTCAGAGAACCCCGCAGCATTCCCAACCCTGCGAGGAGATTCCCGCCCCTCCTGTAGCGACAGGGGGCCGCCGGGACCTCGGCGCCTCTCCCCA